CCTTCTTTATCAACCATGTGTAACAAATCCTTGTACAAAGTGCTAAAAATCTGTTTCCTTTGTGGGAAAGTGACTTGAACCACCTCATGCATCACGAGTGGAGCTCCATCAGAAAATGCTCAATAATTAAGAACCCATTTTCCTTTCTTTTTGAATAAATCACATTCTCACCATAGACTGCAGGACCTGTGTCTGTGTTTGACTGATGACAGCTCAGAGGTTCATTAGGACTGATAAAAAATGTAGGTTCACTTAAACAGAGAGCAGTATGATGAGTTCAGTGTGTCTGTGGGCATCAGTGTTCATTTCTTGAAATCAGTTTTTACATTTGTTGTTGTGTTGTCTGAAAAAATAATACAAATAAAAAATAATCCTATCAATATTAGTATTATTATTATTATTATTTATGTGGGATATTTGTGTTTGTTCTTCTAATTCATTAAAATAACTAGAGAAGAGAAGAGAAGAGACTAAGTGATTTCACGCCTTTTTCCTACCTGAAACACGGGCTTCTGCAGCCCTTCTCCTATCCCGTGTCGGGTGTAGATGTGCCGGGACATCTCGGCCAGTTCATCGGTCCAGGGCGGAGGCTGCCGCTCCGTGCCGCTCCACTGGAACTGCTGCTGCTCCGGTGGCGGACAGTGGACCGCCGACTCCAGCTTGGCTCCGGTTCCGCTTCACGACAACAGAGGAGGGAGAAAAAAACGATGTGGCTCTGAAGACGTTTCCCACTCCGCAGTGGGTCTGTACAGATGAAGCCCAGTGCGAGCACAGATACTAACCCTCCCCCCTCCACTCCATCACACAGGGCTACGGGGCTGCTGCGTTCAGGGACACGCAGAAATTCAGAATTTCATCGTTGCAACTTGAGATGTGCATGAAGGAATAAATAGGAAAAGTATTTTTAGTATTTGTAGTCATCAATCCATCACTTGGTTTGAGTTGAATGTTGTACTATTAAGCTAATTGCATACATGAGAATGTATTTAAATAAACTCATTGATAGAAATGTATGTAGCATGTACTGTACAGACATAAATACCCTACATCCATATATAAATTACATTTTACACTCTATTCTTTACACATTCTCATCACCGATATTGATCCATTGTTCATATCCCCTCTTTAACTACTTACATTCCACTAATAGGCCTATCTATTTGCCATGTTCAAAAATGTCTTTGTGTCTTTCTGTTTCCATCATTATTGCATGTTGCACAGTCTGTAAAGATTATTTTAAAATATTTCACTGCACACAATTGTATGTATGATAACAGACTAATAGGCCATCATGAACACTATTCTTTCAAATGGACTTACATATCTACAGATGTTGTTGCTGCTGTAATAAATGAGATGGATTGTGTTTTCAGAATGCACATTATCTGTAAAGTCACCCAATGGCTCTCTTAATAACTGTACAAGATTTAAATGAATAAAATTAAATATGTAAAGGAAAACTAGTTTAAAGTCGTTACATTCAGCTGTATCACAAACAAAACAAATGCATGTTAAAAAACCTAAGCTACAATAACTCTAATATTTTAAATATTTCTAAATGCTTTCTTACATACATTTACTTCCTATTCTCATCTGTATTGTTCTCTTTTTGTTATGCAACCCGTGGCATATTGTAACAAGTAATAAAGAAGTTATTCTAACACTCTTATTATATTTGCAAGCACTGAAGCTAAATTGGCAGACAGGTTAGGCTTTAAATTAAATAGCTTAGCCCTGCATGAAACCCAGATGTGACATCTAGGCAGAGAACTAAATATAACAAAGTTATGTGAATAATAATTGAATTAATTATAATTTTAATTTAGTAAAATTGGTAGTTCTCAACCACCAGAACCCTGTGATCCTGTAGTCACTGGGACAAACAAGTATGGAGAAATGATGAAAGGGTGGATTGATCAAATTAAACAATATGACTAGAAATAATAATAATTAAAAAGCTAATTAATAGCAGCCATAGTTTTGTTTGTATGATTAATAAGATTTAAATCTTTATATGAACATTTCTGATGTTGGAAGTGTACTTAACAAGGAGCATTTGAAGGCAGCATAAACTCTCTTTCACAGTACCAGCATGACCTGGCATTTGGCAAGATAGTTCAGACGAATTCTTTCTTTTATGTGTATAAAAGAACAACCCTCATAAAAAAATAATAAAGTCACACTACAAATAGTGATTATATTAGATACTGGCTAGATTTAAAACAAATACAAACAAATTCTAAAAGAAAAACATAAGAGGAATGGTATGGATACTAAAATCATTCATGCGCTTTTTTCCACATGTATTTCACATATTTATGATGCTATCTGAACATTTGTAGCCTAACACAAACACTTTCTACTGATTTAGTGCCGCATTCTTCATGTAAAAATAAAACAGGCCAGTTTTATCTCAGCAAATTAACTAGGACAAACAACAGATGATAGAAATCTCCTCAGTCATTCTCACCACACAGCACTACCAGCTGTGCTGTTTTCAGACAATCCCACTGCAGGTCTGTGGAAAGCCTTTACACTTTGTATCCTGAAGAACAGCCTGTGGGGTTTTTACCTGCACTTTGCTACGACAATAACGCTGGCATTTAAAGGATCCCCAGTGCAGCTTTTTGAAAAATAAAGGGCAGAAACTATAAAAAGGCCAACTTCAATGAATAAATCATGTCTTCTGGGTAATGATCACATTATTGGCTTGTTCATCACGTGCAGCTGGTGATGTGTGCAGGGAATAGGAGAGTCTAATTAGGCAGACTGCTACTATTTTAATCACCTTCCTGTTAATTGTGTAAATGTAATTTCTTAAAAGGTATCCAAAGGGAAATGTACGTAGAGACCACCCTCAACACAGGTCAATTTTTTTTTTATTTCAAAGAATATTATAAGTTTGCTCTGTTACAAAAGCAGTTTTAAAATCTTGGATAAATGAACTTTTCCTGGAATATTTTAAATATACAGAATTATACATATCCAGCGGATACTGGGACTGAAGTTGCTCGCCAAAGTTGTGTCTGTGTCGTTCTTTGATTTCTACAGAAAAACAAGGCATCCAGTGGTAAATACATGTTTACAAAGCTAAGGTGCAACGTCAATGTCACTGACAAAACCAGGTATTTTACATCTAATATACAATGCCTGTAATATGAGGCCAATAAAGGAAATAAAAGAAGACAGTTGTGGCTAAAATTAGTAACTACGGAGCTACTGCAACAGGGCTGTGTGAAAGCTGCTCCTTAATATTAACCCCAAACCTGCAGAATAAACAAGCAGTAGGTCTAAAACATGATGTCTCACTTCTCTTTCTTCATCTTAACAGAAACTAATGATTTCCCAACTTTGTGAAAATTTAGTTCCATTTACATTTTGCCTGAACGATAAAAGTAAAAGCAGGAGCAAAGTAAGAATAATAATAATTACACTTTCTCCAACCATGTAAATTACACATGTATAATGTCTCAATATATATAAATCAAAGTACAGGCAACGCCATTGACAATTTCGAAATTTACGTGTACAGACATGAAAAATCTCAACATTTGCATAAAACATGCACTCCGTTAAATGGAAGAGACCCCACACATGAAGAGGAGAGGCAGGAAGGTACTGATGTAGTAATCATGAACAGATGCAGTGTTTCATCAGATTAATAAACACACAAAGAAATCCAACTAACTATTTCTCAGTTCACCCTAAAATCTGATGATCCTTACAAAAAAAATCAATGCATTTTACAATGCTGAAGAACCTATTATGGGTAAGCCCTCAAACACATACGTACGCAATAAATACATACGTATGTACAAAAACAAATATGTGCACACATACACAGAAATGTCATCTTACACATCACAAATGCAACCAGAGAATGCATTACAAGGCAGTGAGTTGATGGGAAGGTAACCATTTACACAAATATAACTGTTAACATACATATCTGATAGTTGAAAATATAGTTTGTACTTCAGAAATTCTGTTCCAAACACAGATCAGCTACAGTGATAGATGCAGGTGAGGAAGAAAACAAAAACGAAGCTCCTGCCTTTTAAATAACTGCACGCTCTGTCCTGAAGCGAGCACCCGCGCCCCGTCCCACACACTCGATATGTGCTGGCTTTGCAGAAACGTGAGCTCTCACATCAGACCAGAGTGTTTCTTTTACAAACTGAAAAACAAGACGGCCGTGGCCGTTAAAATCTAAAAGAAGAAGAAACATTTCAGCCATGTTCACATTAACGCAGACACTTTTGAAAATGCCATTTAGGTGTCAAATGTTAAATCCACACTATGCACACTAACATATCATGCGTGTCTTCATGGGCAAACTACCATGTGAGACTGGTGTTTTAAATCGGATTTGCTCGGGAGAACGCTTTTCGAAAAGCTGCTTTTTTGTCGGTTTGCAGGCTGTCTACATCTACACTGGACACGTTTTTCAGTCATCCGCATCGAAACAGATAAGATATGCTTCGGTTTTGATCAATACAGCTGTCTAAAACAGCCGGGCAATGGCTTGAGTAAAGGCTCACTTTTCACTTGCATTTTACATGCAGAGCTGCTATTTTAGTTCACTTTATTCCTATGTTTGCTTGTAATTGCACTGATCTTGTATTAGGCTATATGGGCTGCAACAACACTTCTAGTGCACAGCAATACTGTGGCTGAAGGTATCCAGTGTAGACACTGACTGGGGACAAGCAGCTGCTGACGTGCCGTTTTCGCTACATGGCCAGTGTAGACAAGGTAGTGTGAACAGTAGGCCAATATGAAGAGAAAAAGAAGCATTTTTTCACTTTTATCTACATTAGTGTGGACATGGCCTGACCCTCTGTTACCACCTCAAAGAGGACATGTTGCGTAAATTCTTTGAAGGGGGTCAATTCAGAAATAACACACTCTGGGAGTAGCATTGTGTTGAACTATGAATTGTAAAATGTAAATTTCTTCAGAATTAGGCAAAGACTGCTCATTACAAGGCGCTGTATTGGTGTACAAGCCCAGCTCTTCTTCTGTGTCGACCTGTGATGTTTGTGAAGACCAGTGCTGCGTTTACTGTCAGCCAGGAGAGAGAAGTGAAGGACAGGAAAAAAAACTCCTGTTACCATGGTTTAGCCTCACATACAGTAGCTGAGGACATGCACACAGAGAGAGAGAGAGTCCTGACTCAGATGAACAACAGTCCTGCGTAACATACACACCTCAGTTATTTCAGCCTTTGTGGGGTGTGTTCAATTCAGTTGATCAGGCACGCAAAATGGCTAAAGGAATGTTCCCAAAGCAATTACACACTCACACAAGGTAAGCCAAATGAACACACCACTGGAAATGTAAATATCTGGAGCATGTATTCATCATCTCAGGCCTGTTGGCAGTCGGAGTTTTACAGCAGGGGCTGCTGATAATATGCTGCCTGCTGCTGCTGAGGAGCCTGGTGAGGGGGAGCGGCCACAGGATAGGACACGGGAGGCATGCTGGAGTTGTGATAGGTCGACATGTCCATGGCCACGCCTGCCTGGGGTGGGTAATGAGCTCCAGCAGCTTGGTTCATGTACTGAGCGTTCATACCACTGCTGTGAAGAAAATACAGATGAGTGAGTCAATGATCTCATTTACATTTAGTGAATACATTTGAAGTAGTCCTCTTAGATCTCTCTCAAGATCTCATGTGTAGAACTAAATCTTTGACCAAATGGTACTACATTCAAAGTCATAAACAAGGAAAATACATCCAACAATGCAATGCATTCTGAAATGGCTCAATACAATCATCTATAGTCTTTCAGTGAACTCTGCTAGTGTCAATATGATAACATCTTGTTATCTTTTATACAATTCTGTTGTTCAAATGAATTATTTCAAGCTTATTGTAATTAAAAACTAAACAAGTTGTTAAATGTATTTGTTTTTCTGATATAACAGTGGACCACAGTTGGCTACACAAGAATGAAACATTTTATGGGTGATTTGCAGACATTTGCCATCATGTGATATTGGAATATTATTCTAGTTAATATTGATACCAATATCAGCCGTATCACCTAGCTCTGATACAGTCTATATCAGATGGAAAGCTACAATCAGCTGGAGTGTGCTGTGACTTTCTCTGGGGCACACTCAGAGACAGATATGATGACCATCAGCCAAAATAATCAGCAAGCAAGCTACTTGTACAACACTCAACCATCCATTTTTTCTCTGCTCATCTTATTTTGCATAAGTGACAAAACATGTTTTTCCTGTCTATGAAAATAAAAGAAAGCTGAACAGGCAGAGAAGTGAAGAAAACAACTGTACATAAAAAGGTAATCTGTGTTGAGCTTCTGTAGCATTAAGTCTGTCTAATTTTCATGTTACCGCCTGGTAGCTAACTCTCAATAACATACTATCCAGTGGTGACAGTCGCTGGTGATACTGGCTGCATATCTGTACTTCATTTCCACATGACTGGTCCAGGTGTGGGTTATCATGTTAGTAGTGATTTCCCGCATGTAAAACTGATTTACATGAAGCTTGTCCTTCCAAAAACAACACAACATACTGTATTATTACAATGAATAGTTCTGTATGTTGTGCTGTTAACTTGTTGTTATGTATAAAAAATATTTGATACAATTATTTTTATCAAATAGTAATAGTCCACCATTTTTACCGTACACCTTAATTTCTAACCCATTAGTGGAAACATACTTCCATAAAACTTTGGAAACTCACACTGTCAGTGCTAGTCTGTACCACCGACATTATATCTCACTGTCCTGTTAACTGCCCAATGTTCAAAGCTAGCCGCAGAAATCTACGGTGTGGAGCCACCTTTATTAGTCACATGACATAACCCTTTGTCATTATGCGTCTTTAAAGTGTCTCTGCAGAATACTGCTACTACTGTGACAGCCTGACAGGTCCTGTTTTTCAGCAGCAGGGTTGTTTTCTTACCTCATGTATGGAGGCTGAGCAGCTGGGTTGTTGGGTGGGGCTGAGACGTTCGGTGGCAGCGAGTGTAGTGATCCGGGCGGGTCACTGGGCAGAGTGTAGGCCTGCGCAGGAGGACCCTGGGGCATCGCTGGAGGCAGGTAGGGGGCGCCGGGCGGGCCGAGGTAGCCCTGAGCGGACCAGAGGGAGAGGTGCAGTTTTAATAAGTGCTGCTGAGAGAGCACGATTATTACCACAGGTCCTCTTAAGAAGATGTATTTCATCAGTCCACTCCAGAGGATGCAGCACTTTCCAACACAAACATTTCAAAATAAAAGTACACAACATAGTAGTTATGACAGTAGTAGAGTTATATAAACTACCAAGCAAACAGTCTGCCAGACAACATAGAAATAAACCGTTTATAAAAGGAATCGTTTGGCATTTTTTTGGAAATACGCTTATTAGATTTCGTGCCTCGAGCCAGCTCTTGTCCAAATGAAGTGACACTCCAGGAAGAGGGTTAAAGAAAACGTGTTAATTAGTGAGCTTGAGAGGTGCAGTGTTGGGTTATTTTTTATTTAATTAGGTGGGTACATTTTTTGAAGTTTGTGATCATTTGGGCTACTATTTGTACTATTTGGGTTTCCACCACAAAGAATTTGACTATATTCCAATAAACTGCCCACCCCCCCCCCATCTGAGTAGTATGATGGATAGTGACAGTAGGCTCAGCAGGCCTAATCCTTTGAGGACCATCAAAAGTAATGTAATTTCACTCCATTACAACTTGGCTGAACTTTCTCTTCCTATTTAATTTGTTATTCTTCCTGAGCTCTGTGATAAAGACTTACAAAAGTCTACACCTGCTCATATAAATGAAGATGAAAGAAAAAATAACCTAATTATACTGATATATACTGACTAGTTGCAATTTCTGAGCTAATAAATCCAGAGAGTTTCTTTCTATTTCCTCACAAAGTTAATATCATCTCTCTGTCCCAGGCTGACCCAAGGAAAACTAATAAAAGACAAGTCCATCATTGAATGTTTGGCCTCCTGAAAAGGTCTGACTACTGTGTATTACATAAAGAACGCAAGATATAGAACACCCAGTCGCTGTCGGATGAATAAAGTGCAGACTATTACAGTAGTGTTGCTGCCTTATTGTTTTTCTTTATTCAAATTATGAGGAAGAGCACCAGTAACAAACATATGCAGTAGCTGTTGTAGACGATTATATAAAATATGAGTAGTATCATGATTTTAATTTTCTAATTTTCAGTGCTTATGGACAACAAAATTCTTGACATTGCAGGTGCAACAACAACAACCTGGTAGGCAGTTTTACAGTAAAAAAAAAAAAAATGATGAAGGGCAAAAACAAAACAAGCAACACTCTGGTGTGGGCCTGCCCAGTGAAGTGGACATTTTTCTAAATGGCAGGGGAGAGACAGTGACATCAATCACTACAGAGAAAAAAGCCACTGCCAAGAAAACCCAGGCAGCCTCCGACTCTCCAGGGAGGTAGAAAAGGCTGACTGAATGTCAGGACGAGTGCAAAAACCGACAAATTCAACTGCTTTACTGGCCAAATATAACACACGAGTATAGGATGTGCGGAATAAAATAGGGGGCTAACAGCAAGGTCTAATCAAGTGACTGCTCTGAATGATTTCCCTCTACAATAGTCCGCTATTGTCGCCGTGAAAACATCATAGAATCAATAGACAAAAGTGAGAGTCTACCATTTGTGTGTGGGTACACTGGTAGCTAACACACAGTTCTTCTAGCACACAGAAAATCTCAAACCAACCTCTGACTGAATCCATCATTAAATTTTGTATGACTTGGCACTGCCTTTTATTGACTCGGCACGCATCACAGGACAGAGACAAGATGACTACAGTACACCTACAAGAATCTTGAAAGATTTAATGGTTTAAGGCTATAAAAGCGTACATGAATTCAATGTATTCTTTTTAGAAAGGTATTAAGCCTATTCACTTGTCACTCAAAAGTCTCATATCGGTCGGGTCTACTTGAGAAATAGTTAGCTCCAGTTTCAGTGATGATTCAGTTAACTTAAAAAAAAAAAAAAAACATTTTCCCAAGAACAAATCACTTTATCGCTGAACCTTACTCATTTAAAAGGGGCAAACTCAACAAATGCAAACAGAAATACTTTCCTTACGTCATAAACCGAACAGTAGACAGCATTAGTACATGAGCCAGCCACTGGGAATCCAGTCTAAGAAGGCAGAAGTGGGGTGAGCCCTGTTTGCTTTGTGACTGATTACATGATGGACGGACTGATTTAGTTAGGCTTGCAGTTTTAATACCCTAAGATGCAAAGCTACATAAATAAAATGTTCAAGTATCAATGCTGAACCTAAGATGAAATCATTGCTAAAGTGTGATTTTGGTCAGCACAGACAGCTTCTCACCTGCATGGCTACAGCTGAGCCGGCTGGCGCGTACTGTGTCTGCATCTTGGAGTAGGCCGAGTAAAACGGAGCCTCGTGCATGAGCTTGTTGTAAAGGTCCAGGGCCTCTAGAACTTTCACATTCAACTCTGACAACTCTGAATGTTTCCTGCAACACAGAGATAGGATATTTTTGGTTTGTAGAACAGTCCAAGCAGACAGATCATCTTCCAAGGTCTCGTCAGTTAAGGCACAATCATCGCTATCTTTATCCTAAACTTCATAGAAGCTGAAATGGATGTTAGAGAGTCAGACACTTAGCTGGACTTTAAACAAATCAAAGTATTAGAAGAATTTCACATCTATAAAACACTACCTGTCAATCTCCTGCAGCTTCTCATCAATCATTGGGTTCATCTGTTCACAAGCACCTGTTCAGATATTTACAGTTAGGGAGGGAAACAGAAATAAAGTTAGAAAACAGCTCAGACCGACTGCAGTTGTCATTGGCAGAGAGACAGATTTACACCAGCATTAAGGTTTATACCCTCCAGCTGGATCAGCTCTTGGGAGTCAGGAGCCGGATCTGCAGGATCCGCATTCTGCAGCAGTGCCAGGGTTCTGTCCATCTTCCCCTGCAGAACGAACAGAGGTTTGGGTTGGTAGTCTTATCGAGAGGTGATTTGCATTTGTAAATGTTTGTGCGCTGAAGAAAAGTAGTACCTCGTCAATGACGACGGGCTCAGGCTCAACTTTGGTTTCCAAGCTCGTCTCTTCAGGACTGGCTGCCTTTTCAACATAAACCACTGGGGAGGGAAAGGTTAAGTTCAATTAGCAGTTCTGAAACTAATTTGCATCAGTTTCAACCAGTATCAAATAGCTGATGAGCACAGATGCTGATATGCCTTCTAAAAAGGTGCAAAACAGAAAAACCAGAGCAGCTGAAGGAGCTACAATGTTCATTTTCAGATTCAATAGAAAGACCAACCTGGCTCTGGCTCAGCATTCAGATTGGTGGTGACAAAGTTGGAGGGGAAAAGCCCCACCCCTCTGTGGTTCTCTCCTTTCCACCAGTTTGGATCGCTATAAAACAAAAGCATGGAATAGAAATAATAAGCCAATAGGTTGCTAAATGTGTACGATTTGTAAGTCTTTCTGTGTGTTCCTCATTTCTGTTGTGGAGCAGACTTTAACCAGTTAAGATCTGCTCTCTATTATGGTTGGCTGTTTTCTTTATGATGATCAGTGAGGGGAAATAGGAATTTATGCCTCTTTTTTTTTTATATCACTCCAAAAACACCATATGCACACTATACACAAGCTTCATTTAACTAGATGTCTTGATTTGCAGGTTCAGATACTGGGCAAAATTAAACCAAGCACACAGACATATGTAAATATATCCAATATTAAAACTTCTTTGAGATTATTAGTATTTGGAATCATACTTCTGGGCGCCTCTTTAACACCCTGTACACTATAAGTCATATAAAGGAATAAGACTGAATGTAGCTGAAGAATATATAAAACTGGCTGCGATGTTTGCCTGTATTTCATAATCTGAGAATTTCACTGCTCTGAGTGAAAGTGATTTGAAAGTCTGCTACGTTATGCAACATTACCTGTCATCCAAAACCAGAATAAGTTCTCCCGCTTTGAAGGTCAGCTCATTATCTTCAGCCGCTTCAAAGTCGTACAGCGCACGCACCTTCCGGGCCTCCTGCCCCCCGCTACCGTTGGTGTAGCTCGGGGGGTCAGCGGTTGCGGTCAGGGGCCGCGTCTCCGCCTGCTGCTTCTGCTCCTGCAAGGACAGCTCGATTGCTGGGGAAGGTGGAGGTTTGGATGGGAAGAAGAGAGAACAGAGGAGAATTGGAAAGGAGGAGAGAATGTTAACAAATGTCCAACACAGACTTGGCTCAGACACAGGATCCATCTTTTTTTTTTTTTTTTCAGAATACAAACAGCTCTCAGAATACTGCTCAAATGTGAGATGAAAATAATCAATAATGCAGGCAACTAAACAACCTCTTCATGCATGAGAATAGAAAATCCAGTCAATACTGAATTGAACTACTCCTTATTAAATTATAAGGAGTTCGCTAAGAATATTGGTACAAACTGCCTTCAACATACAGTACAGCAGCTGTGAAATATGTTTCTGTTGTAAAAAAAAAAATGATGCTTTAAATAACAGATGAAGTGCACAAATGATGATAAAGGTGTGTGTAGAGGTGAGCGATAGCGTCTCTCTTTACCTTTGGCCAGGTTGTCATCATCAGATCCTTTGCTCACAGCAGGTGTGCTGACCTTTACGGTGGACCCCTGTGGTCAATATAGAAAGAGAAGGTCATGGCTGTGTGTGTTTTTGTATATACGTACGGGAGTGAGTGAGAGTGACTAGAAGAGAAAAACTGCCACCTGCAGTTCATGTTGGTTACTACATGTTGGTCAGAGATGCAACTCTAGCCTTCAGACAGAAACCCTCCACAAAGCTGTCTCCTTATCTCTTGTCTAAGGTGAGGCAGCTCTCTCACATGACAATGAGGTCAAAGTGGACAAAACAGGTCGACTGGACGCTGTTGCCAGTAATGCACAACAACTCTTTACACCCACATATTCACAGTGGGCGAACTAATGCTTAATACTGGCAGTTGGTGAAACAGAAAGTACTACAGAGGCTGGTCCAGTGTCTCCTTTTCACATACAATATAAAGGCAAGTCAAAACACCTAGGAGCAGAGCAAGCTGTCATTTACTGAGAACTAGCTCATGCATGGATCGTCCTGAAGTAGCCATATGACATTAACATCATGGTTAAATCAAATGTGTATGGCATTGTGGCAGAAAAATATCTAAGGGGTTAGAACCGCAACGATTACTCGTCGACTATTTTGATAATCGATTCATTGTCTGTGAGTCTTTTATTTAATGTCGAAATTCTCTGAATTCAGCTTCTTAAATGTGACTGTACTGTAGTTTCTTTACTCCTCTAGGAAAGTAAACGGAATATCTTTGGGTTGTGGACAAAACAAGATATTTGAGGACGTGACCTTGGGCTTTTGGAAACAGTGATCAAGTATGAGTCAGGCTTGTAAGGTAAACTGATTTACCTACTACCTATTTGTACAAATAAACCTTTTTCACAGCAGCTTTTTTGACATATATATATATATATACACATACATATATACATATATACATATATACATATATACATATACATATATACATATACATATATACATAC